AAACAGGAACACTACCCAGCATGCTCTGGGGGCTGAATGAACAATGCTCAGGGTGGAACTGGGCACCAGACTGGTTATTTTAACTAAACAAACCCTGGGCGCCATCCAGGAAGGAAATCTGGGTGTCAAGAAGTCTGTGAGGAAGACAGCGCCTCTCTTTCTGTCTCCTGGGATGCTTTCCCTCCTGTCTTCCCTTTCTTGGTAAGCATTTGTTATAGGAGAGAAAAGAAGGGCTTCTCATAGGTTTTGGGGAATCAGGAGGCGCAGGCGGCCTGGTGTCAGCACCTACCGTTGCCGAGAGTGACTGCAGCTCGATTTCCAGAGTCTGCAGGGAGCGCTTCAGCTCTGTCAGCTCCGACCTGGCTGAGGTGACTGCGTCCATGTCATTGGAGATCTGCTGTTGCAGCGTGGCACTCTGGAGGGCAGATTACACAGGGTTACACCGAGTCTGGCTTGCTAGGGTGGAAGAGAGCAGCGGGTCTGGCTCCCCTCACCTTTTCTTGGAACCCTGCCTCGGCGTCCCTGCGGTTCTGCTCAGCCAGGGCCTCGTACTCGGCTCGCATGTTGTTCAGCAGGACGGTGAGATCCACGCCTGGTGCAGCGTTCATCTCCACGTTCACGTTGCCTCCTGCTGCGCACTGCAGAACCTTCATTTCCTGGAGCGAAGCGCAAGTGAATGTCCTTATGCCACCCGAGAAGGTTTTAGAAGTCTCAAAGTTCCCAGAGGAATGTGTAATTTCTGGGTCCTATCTAATCTGTGTTCACACCAGTCATCCATCTTTTCTTTCCGTCCTTCCTTCCTTCCTTCCTTCCTTCCTTCCTTCCTTCCTTCCTTCCTTCCTTCCTTCCCTCCCTCCCTCCCTTCCTCCCTCCCTCCCTCTCTCCTTCCCCTACCCTCCCACCCATCCTTGTTTTTATGAGACAGGGTCTTACTCTGTAGCTTAGTCTAAACAGAAACTTGCTCTGTAGACCAGGCTGGGCCTTGGATTTGGGGATCATTTTGCCTCAGCCTCCCAACTGCTGGGATTGTAAAGTTGGACCACCAGCCCGATGGTGATGGTGCCCACCTTTAATCCCAGAATTTGGGATGCAGAGACAGGCAGCTCTCTGTGAGTTCAAGGCCATTCTGGTCTACATAGCAAGTTCCAGGTCAGTCAAGTCTAAACTGAAAAACCCTGTCTCAAAAAACAAACAGAAAAGTTGAACCACCACACCAAACCCAACCACACACACACACACACACACACACACACACACACACACACACACGTCCTAAAAAGCTGCTACTAACTTATTTCTGTACTTTGAAGTTTTCTATGTAAGATTCCACATAAAGGAAAATCCTTGTTGCTGTGGAGTTTCAAAATCAAACCGCTTGCGGTTAGCCTACACCCACCAGGGAGAGTGTAGGAAATGCCCAGGGCACCCCAATATGAGCAGCTTTCCCCCCCACCTTCAGTGCAGTCAAAGCTGCTGTGACTTTAGGGGGGACCTGGATCCCACTGTGCTCCAAGCCCTTCTCTTGTGTTTGCCGTCTCTTCTCTTCCTTCTCTGGCTTTCATGTTTGGGGGTCACTCTCCTGTGGCCTTACTCTCTCTGTGCTGTGCTGTGTGACTCTCCTCTCTCTCTAACTTCCCTTCCTCTAACGTTCCCGTGGGAGGCAAGCAGATTTCACGTGTGGCTTCCCTGAGCACGGATTGGTGCTGGGATCGCAGCGACTTCCTTCCCTCTCGAGAGTTTTCACGGGCAGAGCTGGGATGGGACTTAGGCTTCTCCTACCTCTTCGTGGTTCTTCTTGAGATAGGTCATCTCCTCACTCAGGGATTCATACTGCAGCTCTTGGTCCGTCCTGCAGAGGGTCAGCTCGTCGAGGACACGGCGCAATCCGTTGATGTCTGCCTCTACATTTTGGTGAAGGGTGAGTTCATTTTCGTACCTGGGTGGGGGTGAATTTAAACGCAGTGGAAGTTAGCTCATTAGGAACTCAACCCGATGTCAATGGGAAATACGAAACCAAATCAGGACTCTAAATCTTATAAAAAGCTACAGAAAAAGCCTTGTGTGGTAGCCCATGTCTGTAATCCAAGAACTCAGGAGGCTGAGACAGGAGGATTGTGAGTTCTAGACCAGTGTGGGCTACACAGTGAGACTCTGTCATAAACCAAAACAGCTGGACACAGAGCAGGACCCTTCCCCCGGTTCTGTGCAATATGAACAACTCCCCAGTTTCGTGAAAGCGCCATTTTTGTAATCTTACCTAAGCTGACAATTTTATGGATTGAACAATGGCCAAGGAACATTACTTTGTGCTTGGCATTCCCTTAGGCAGGCATGGAGATACGTGGGCAGTTTATTTCATGGGTGTGGTGAATATGTTACATTTTGACTCAAGTTGACTGGCGTTTTGTGACAGAAATCCTTTGTTGCCTTTACTCTTTTGGGTTGTAATTTATTTTACTTGAGATGAAAACGAAATTGTTTAACAACACAAACAGACAGGAACCTCGTTTGGGGGCCATGGCTGCCATCTGTCACTTACTTTAGTCGGAAGTCGTCAGCAGCCAATCTGGCATTATCAATCTGCAGAATTATATTAGCATTAGCAGCCGTGGAGGAGATAATCTAGAAGACATTAAATGGGCATTAACAGAAATAACCTTGCTTTTGTTATTTATTATTTAAAAAATAATTAAGCCTTTGC